TCATATTGCCTTGATCATTCTTGACAATATATGAACCTTGAAACAATCATGGCTTAAATTCCATTGGTCCAATCAAGTACAGTGGTACCTCAATACTCATCGTTAATGGAATAGAATGGAATGGAATGGAATAGAATAGAATAGAATAGAATAGAATAGAATAGAATAGAATAGAATAAGAGTTGGGAGGGACCTTGGAGGTCTTCTAGTCAGGGGTCGCCAACCTTTTGGACCTCAGGGACCACCAAACTCATAATTTTAGATCCCAGGGACCACTAACTGGTTCTGGGGGTGTGGCCTAATTTGTGGGTGTGCTTGGTGGTCATGTGACTGGCTGGGCATGACTTGTATGTAAATATTATAAATATTTATATAAATATTGACTTTTTTATATATATAAAAAGACAACTTTTACCCAAAATCAGGCAAAGCAGGCAGATTGAGTTGCTCACAGAATCATTCAGTGATCTATCTATCTGCCATCGGCTAGCTCAGTCTCTCAAATTTGCTTGCCGTGAGTCTGCACTGAATTTGCTTGCAAGCAAACCTTCAGTCCTAAGGGAGGTTCAGCTGTGCTGAGCTGAAGATCTAAAGACTAGCTAGAAAGGAAGAAATCCAACCATTTCCTGCTTCCTAGCTAATCTAAATCTCCCAGCACAGCAGAACACCTGATGGTTGGAAAAAGGAAAAATAGCAATTTAGCAGGCAAGTTTACCGGGTAAGGAGTGAGTGGGCGGAGAGGATTCCTGCGGGCCATGTGGGTGGCGCAGCCTTGCGTTTCTGCTCAGCCTGGATTAATTACTTCGCTCTAGGGTTGAGATTTCTCTGTGGCCCACCAAAATTTTCTCACGGCCCACCGGCTGGCAACCGCTGTTCTAGTCCAACCCCCTGCATAGGCAGGAAACCCTACACCACTTCAGACAAGTGGTTAGCCAACATCTTTTTAAAAACTTCCAGTGTTGGAGCATTCACAACCTCTGGAGGCAAGTTGTTCCACTGATTAATTGTTCTAACTGTCAGGAAATTTCTCCTTAGTTCTAAGTTGCTTTTCTCCTTTGTAAGTTTCCACCCATTGCTTCTTGTCCTGCCTTCATGTGCTTTGGAGAATAGCTTGATTCCATCTTCTTTGTGGCAGCCTCTGACATATTGGAACACTGCTAGCATGTATCCTCAGTCCTTCTTTTCATTAAACTAGACATACCCAGTTCCTTTAACTGTTCTTCGTATGTTTTAGACCTCAGTCCCCTAATCATCTTTCTTGATCTTCTCTGCACTCTTTCTAGAGTTTCCACATCATTTTTTACATCATGGCGACCAAAACTGAATGCAGTACTCTAGGTGTGGCCTTACCAAGGCCTTATAAAGTGGTATTAATACTTCACGTGATCTTGACTCTATCCCTCTGTTTGGTTCTGGGAGATGTGATGACTACCAAAAACGATAAGTACCAAACAATTTTTTCCCTATAAGGTAGTGAGTTACAAGTCAGCTGACACTGAAAAGTTTTAGCTTGTACATTGAGTACCAAACAAACATTGAGTACCGGGACACAATTTTCACCTCAAAATGCCTTTGAGTACCAAATTTGATGAGTTTCAAACCAGTTGTGTACCAAGATACCACTGTATTCAGTTCTCAATATTAATGGAAATGGGTTAAGAACAACACATTCTTAATAAAAATGTCCACCATCTCAAATGGAATAAATATTTCTTCTCTTCATCCTTTCTTTTTCCCCAAACAGAGGCCATTTTTCCAATTTAATGATTCTTAATTCAAATGAAAGAAAGCTAGGATTGTTCTCCACAAAAATGCTGCCTTCAGCAACATCCTTGCAGTAGGTTCAACCATACTTCTTTATCCTTGATTGGTCGATTGATTATCAGCCCTTGGACCATATAAAATTCAACCAGACTCAAAATCAAAGCATCACATCGCTGTGAATCAAAATTAAGCTTTTCAAAACCATGAAGGATTCGGAAGTCTCCTTGACCAGCAGGCCTGGAATGGGTTTTATCCAAAATCTACAGGTCATGGAGATGTCTACTTTCCTTTATAATGGAGGATGCAGTGGGCTCACACCTTGGTCTTAAGGAGACCACAACACAACCTACAAACAGAAGGCAGCCATGTTGATAGAGAACTGAAGGTGTCATCGTGGATTGGCTGCTTCCTCTGCAGGCTATCATGTGGTTGTACCCTAGAAGTCTGAGATAATGGAGGTATGAGGACAGCAAAATCATTTTTTCTCAGAGGCAGCCAAAAGGTACCTAAGGAGATAGTTAAGTTGCATGTATCTGAAATGAAATTTCGTTTCCCCCAAATAATTAGCTTTACATGGAAAAGTCCCCTGAGAATCTCTGAGAATATAGTACTGAAAACAAAATTGTTTCTCCATCAAAGATGGAGATAACTTTGGGGTGATCTTCCTTTGGGGTAAATATATACGTTAAATACTTTTTTCCCATTTTTCCAGGGTTATTTGCAGGAGTTTTGTTGGCTTAATATTCCTTTTTGTCACGATTAGAACATCTTGGTTTTGAATTCTTATTTTGTATGTATTCTCTGGGGTAATATAAACTATGGGTGTCGACGGAGATTCTCTGTCATCCAGGTCATGGTTGTCCCAAAGGTGCTTTTTCAAAAGGCAACTGGACTTCCTTTGTTTTTTCCTTGAAGACATTTCGCTTCCCATCCAAGAAGCTTCTTCAGTTCTGACTGAACAATGGGGGATGGAAGGATTTACAGTATATTTCTTGCAGTCATCTGGTCATTAAATTCTTTCTGAAGGTCGTTGAAGCCACTTGGAGGTTTATCTGTGCCCTCGGGGGTCACCTGAACAGTACAAATGGGTGTGGACTGCAGCCTATCTGCATTTGAAAGACAAAGGCACTCTTTTGAAGATAGCAAAGTCCACAATCTGGACAGAGAGGACCATTAGTTTGAAAGAGGAGTCAAAAAGGACATCTACATTAAGACTGAACAGCCTTGTCACAACAGGAGGGGGGGGATACCAGACAACCCATCTCATGTTTACCACACAGTCCTTTCAGCAATTCCAAGCAGGTTCAACATCCATTTACACTATTCAGGTGATTTCCAAGCAAGGTGGGATTCAAAAATTTTAACAACCGGTTCTGTGGGTGTGGCTAGGTGGGTGTGGCCACGTGACTGGGTAAGCATGGCTTCTTCTTTTTTTGCAGCGCTGCCCCCCCCCCTTTTTTGCCTCCTGGGCCTCAGGAAAGCCTCCTGGGCGAAGCAGTAAGACAGCAAGGGGGATCCCGGCACACTGATCACCTGAACAGCTGGTCCTCAGGAGGGGGAAAAAAAGAAATATCTTAAGGAGCGACTGGGCAGGAAAGAATGCAGTCAGTGATGTCGGGCATGCACGCGATGTCGCGCATGTGCGATAAGGACTGACTGGGCGGGGAAGAGCCAGCTAGGGGCACGATTTGCCGGTTCTCCAAACTGTGCAGAATCATAACCACCAGTTCTATAGAACCGGTCCGAACCAGTAGAATCCCACCCCCTGCTTCCAAATGGCCTCAATAAATCTCAGAGGGAGTACTAACGACCAGAGGACTGTAGGAATATAAATCCTTCCATTCTACACCATTAAGGCAGAACAGAAAAAGCTTCTTGGATGAGAAGCAAAATGTCTTCAAGGAAAAAAACCAAGTTTAGTTGCCTTTTGAAAAAGGACCTTTGGGATAAAGTATGAATGCAACTCTAATTTATATATTGCTGGAGAATGAGGCAGGAAAGAAGTCGTAACACCGCCGAAGCTGTACTTTAGAATGTATACGGTAGAAAATTTCCAAGTTTTAAATGTCATTGATATTTTTTTAAGAATAAATAAATAAAATCTCTGTGCAGATTTTAAGAAAAGCTGTCAGAAAAACATTTTAGTGCCACTTTTTTTTTTGTCAGCGGTGCTATCTTTCTACTTGAAAAGGCATCTGTTTTTATCTGTGCATTTATGTTTTTATTATTGTGCAATTGCGGCCTGCTTCAAAGCCTTGGCTCCAGATAGGTCGTCCTCGACATATAACCATAACTGAGACCAGACTATCCGTTGTTAAGCAAAGCGGTTGCTCAGTGAGCCGGGCCCAATGTTATGACCTGTTTCCAAACTGAACCTCTCTGCCTATCCCTTAACCATCTGACATTATTCTTGGCTCCAAAAGAAATAAACATGCTTTCACAGCTCATGCTTCGAGGGGCGGAAACGCTTTGTTAAGTATTTAAACATGCCCCCACCAGGGATTTCTCTGGAGGTTGTTTGCTGAAAAGAATCTTATATTACGGGAGACCTTTGGCTACTGAAATATCAGGGGCGGCTTTGTCATTCCAGTTCATATGGTGTAGATCTCTTGTTTGAGTCTTTTCTTTTTGGCAGCATATATAAACCACCATGAAGAAGTTGGATGGGACCATCCCAACAATTTCTTGCTTAACAGTTCAAGATTGTTTTTTTTTTTCTAATTTGTTGATACGAATTGTGGCTTTCTCTTTAAAGGTCACCCAGATGGCTGGCTTCTGTTGCATCCAGTATAGCACTACAATAAGGTTTTAATGTTGGGTTTTGTAAAAAACAATAATAATGATCTAATAAGGGGAAATGTTTGTAGCTGAAATGAGGGGTCCTTAGTGCTCTCTGAGCTTGGTTGTTTTCTTGCAGACATTTTCTTGCCCAAATTAGGTAGCATCATTAAGGTTAGTGAGTGGGATTTGTTATATATGCATATATAAGAGAATGGACACAGCATTGATGATGTTACCTGCCTAAAGAAATGTTCTGTAAGAAAACAACCAAGTTCAGACCCACACACCCCAACTAAGCAACCAACCAAGGACCCCTCAAATTACGGTCTCTATCTGTATAACCCAAGGGACTCTGTTGTGACCAGCAGGCATTAAGGCAAAAGATTTATCCAGATGCCTTGGATATGTGGCTGAAGGGCCTAGTACCTGAGAAGATCCTGATTCGTATTGTATACCTGTAGCATGGGAATTCTTGAGCCTCACTTTCTGGTTGTCCATCTTCCCTCACTATCACTTTAGCAAGGTGCCAGCCACTGCTTCCTCCTTTGCCGTCATGCCCTATTCTCACCCTGCTCACCTGCTTCAGGTGGACTGCTTCAATGATGAATTCGTCAGCCTTGATAGAAGGGGGGGGGGGGGGGGGGAGAAAAAAAAAGAAAGGTTAAAATGGCAGGCAGAAGGATCAAGATCCGTAGGTTTTTTTTGACTCTGGAGCTAGAAAAGTGGCTAAGGATCAAGGAAAATGTTCCTTGACTTGCCTTAAGCGATGGAGCCTTCCTCACTTGTACCATCTGTGAAATGGGAAGCGTAACAGCCCATTTCCAAGAGATGGTTGCCATCCTTTGAAACCCCCCCCCCCCACAAACAAGGCTGAAACACAGTTAATCCTCAAATTACGACCACAGCTGAGCTCAACGTTTCTATCGTTAAGCAAGGCAGTTGTTCAGTGAGTTTTAGGACCTTCCGTGCCACAATTGTTAAGTAAATCCCTGCGGTTGTTAAGTTAGTCGCACTGTCGTTAAGTGAATCTGGCTTCCCCATTGACTTGGCTTGCCAGAAGGTCACAAAAGGAGAACCACATGACCCCACAGGACTGTTATAAATATGAGTCAGTTCAGTCGCCAAGCATCCAAATTTTGATCACACTGATCATGGAGATATTGCAATGGTCGTAAGTGTGAAAAACGGTCATTTTCAGTCATTTCGAACAGCCACTAAATGAATGGTTGTAAGCCAAGGACTAATCTATAGAAAACTGGCCGCCAGGTTAAAAATATTTTTAAAAGGTTGGTTATTCCATTCATTTTCATGGCAGCAACAATTGCAAAAAAAGGGGACGTATTTTGCATGGCGAGATTTTAAAGATGCCCCCTGGGGCTGCCCTAAGGAGAGTAGAACAAGTCCCCACTCCCTCGCTGGCTCGTCAGGGGTCAGCCAAAAGCCCCTCAGGTAGCTTTCAGATATGTGTCTTCCACACAACAGAAATTGCAATCGGATTGTTATTTCCAAGGTGGATTTCCAGGCTCCCTTGGGGTGGCTGGAGAGTCTCCGTGTAATTTTAAAATGTCTGCAAGCAAGCAGTTCAAACCTCTGGCAGGAATGAACAAACCCTCCTGTGGGAAATGTGCAATGGGAGGGAGGGAGGGAGGGAAGGAGAGGTGGGGGGAGAGGAAAGGAGGGAGGGAGGGAGGGGGGAAAGAAAAAAGGGAAGGAGAGGTGAAGGGAGGAGGGAGGGAGGGAAAGACAGAGAGAGAAGCAAGGAGAGAGAGGGAGGGAGAAAGGAAAGAAGGGAAGGAGAGGTGGAGGGAAGGAAAGAGGGAAGGAGAGGGAAGAGGGAGGGAAGGAAAGACAGAGAGAGAAGCAAGGAGGGAGAGGGAGGGGGGCAAAGAGGGGGAGGGAGGGAGAAAGGAAAGGAGGGAAGGAAGGAGGGAAAGAGAGGGAAGGAGGGAGGGAGAGACAAACAGAGAGAGAAGCAAGGAGAGGGAGGGAGGCAAAGAAGGAGGGAGGGAGAAAGGAAAGAAGGGAGGGAGAGAGAGGGAAGAAGGGAGAGAGAGACAGAAGGAGGGGGAAAGAGGGAGGGGGAGAGACAAGGAGAGGGACGCAGGGAGGGAGGGAGGGAGAAAGGAAGGCAGGGAGAGGGAGAAAGAGAGGAGGAGGGAGAGAGGAGGGGGAGACAGAGGGAGGAAAGGAAGGAGTAAGAGAGAGGGAGAGAGACTGACTTACACTGCCTTTCTCAAACTTATTAACGGTGTTCACGCTGTTCTGGAGCACCCGGTCCCCCGTGTCTCCATGCTCCCCGATGAGGCAAGCAAAAACATTGGCATCGGTCCCACTTCCGCTCACTGTCCCGGTGCACACAGTCAGTCGATACTTGATTACTGCAAATGAAGAGATCCACCAATGAAGTTGAGCATCTTGAGATTACATGCAACTCTGCTCTCTCTGTCTCTCCAGAATAAATTCCCTTTTCCCTTCCCATAGGCCCGTCTTCAATTTCCCCCCAAAATACCACTGATAGAGGGAGACAGCAGGGCGGGGGAGGCGGGGAGAGAGAGATTAGATAGATAGATAGATAGATAGATAGATAGATAGATAGATAG